ATTTACTACAGCATAATAATTATTTACTAATAACTAATAAATCATATTTAATAAGTAATGTGATATACCTAAATAATTATTTAGTAAATATTACAATTTAGTTATTAATTTCTTTATAAATTATAAATAACTATATATAAGTATAAAATGACATAGGCAAACATATTTTACATAAGACATAAACTAGTAATTGTGTTGATGAGCAGATATGATCAGATATTATTAGGTTCCTGATGTCACTGCATGTTTGTGCGCTCTGGCAGGAAGCTGTCCATGACTCACACCTGTGACTTCCTGTGCACGAGTAACAGACGCCACTGAACGCACCACTCACTCCTCAGATCAAACACGAACCCAACAGGATGGCGCAGGCCGTGGCCAACGTCGCCCGGAGGATCAACGCCACCGTGGAGGAGCAGAGGGACTCGCTGGGTGCGGAAATCACGCCATCTCAAACAAACAAAATAACAGCTCAGATTTCATATTGAACACATCTGTCTAAAAAGCAAGTCTGGAAATGCTAGTTTAACAGGTCATGTGACACATCAGATCTTCAGTTAATTTGGCCAAATTATATCACTTAAAGGTGCTCACACCAAGAACAATAACTATAACTAGATAAAGTTTGTCAAGACAAACTTTAGGTTGGCTTGAGAAAGCCTAGCCTGGAAATTTAAAGCAGTTGTAAAAGCCTGAAGTTTGAACATTTAGATAGATGTTGATAACATGTTTCTATATCACTTAAAGGTGCTCACACCAAGAACAATAACTATAACTAGATAAAAAAGTTTGTCAAGACAAACTTTAGGTTGGCTTGAGAAAGCCTAGCCTGGAAATTTAAAGCAGTTGTAAAAGCCTGAAGTTTGAACATTTAGATAGATGTTGATAACATGTTTCTAGCATGATTTTAGCATGATTAACCTGTTACTAGCATTTTGCTAGCAAGATTAGCATGTTATTAGCATGACTATCAAGTTACTACCATGTTGCTAACATGTTTCTAGCATGATTAGCATTCTACTAGCATGTTGCTAACATGATTAGCAAGTGACTAGCATGTCGCTAGCATGATTAGCAAGTTCCTAGCATGTTTAACATGCTACTAGTATGTTGCTAGCATGATTAGCAAGTTACTAACATGTCGCTAGCATGTTTCTAGCATGATTAGCATGCTACTAACATGTTGCTAGCATGATTAGCAAGTGACTAGCATGTTTCTAACATGATTAGCAAGTTATTAGCATGTCGCTAGCATGATTAGCATGCTACTAGCTTAGTTTTAATGTCTCCCCTAGATTTTGTGGAAAAAAGCTTATATTTATAAAGTTATGTTTATGTGAAGTTCTTTGAAATTAAACTAAAATAACTAAAAATGTAACAATATTTTTCCACTCCTCTGCAGATTGTAATTTAAATTATACATTTTGAATACTGATTTTTTTGGCATTAAAAATGAAACTTTTGATTGCATTTGTTATTTTAATAATTCAATTCAAGATATATATATTATATATAAAAAATTATTATTATTTTTTTTTTTTTTATCAAAAATTCAATATATTATTTTTTGAATAAATAAATAATAATAAATAAATACATTAGGTAATATTAAGCCTTTTTTTCCTCAAGATGCAGGCCTGTGTAATTGCAAAAATAATAATAAAAAATAAATAAAGTTCCTCAATTTATTTTATTGTTATTGATTAGTTTCAGCTTGTGCTCAGTAGATGGTGCTATAGTTCTGAGAAAAATCACATATTCGCTTGATTTTGACCATTTCCCAATTTATCAAGTGTCATGTTCTTTAAATCATCATATCAGCCATTTAATGCAAGGAGTAAGTAAATCTAAATGGCAATCAGCGGCATTGTGAAGCCCAGCACTTTGATTGTCCACACACACATCAAGAGCCTGCAAATGACTGCATTAATTCTGTCCGTCAGTCTGATAGTGCTCGGTGTGATTTGCTGAGTGATTGCACAATGGGAGCTTGTTGATATGCAGAGGCGACGGCTCTCTGAAATTATATATTAAATAATAATGTGGATTTGGCACATTTATCTAGTTATTTAAATACTTCACAAATGAAAAGTGCTTCATTTCAACTGATTAATTTTTTTGTTTTTTTATTTGAAACTTAATGGACACCAATCAAAAGTTTAGATGATTCGTATCAAATGCATGAATCTGAAAAGTTAAAAAGGGGTCAGTAAGATATTTTTTTAAATAAATTAATACTTTTATTCAGCAAGGATGCATTAAATCTATCAAAAATGACAGAAGGACATTTATAATGTTACGAAAGATTTCTATTTCAAATAAATGCTGTTCTTTTGAACTTTCTATTCATCGGCGAATCCTGAAAAAATAAAATGCATCACAGTTTCCACAAAAATATTGTGCAGCACGACTGTTTTCAACATTGATGATAATCAGAAATGTTTCTCGAGCAGCAAATCAGCATATTAGAATGATTTCTGAAGATCATGTGACACTGAAGACTGCAGTAATGATGCTGAAAATACAGCTGCGCATCACAGAAATACATTACAGTTTAACAGATATTCACATAGAAAACAGCTGTTTTAAATTATAATAATATTTCAAAATTTTACTGTATTTTTGATCAAATAAATGCAGCCTTGGCAAACAAAAGAGACTTTCATAAACATTACATATCTTACTGACCTCAAACTTTTAAATGGTAGTTTACATGTTGATTCTAAGCATAAAACGGAAAATATTTGAAACTGCAAAATATGAATCAAATCACTACTATAAGTTATTTCAGAGTGACTGACTTCGTTACATCATACACAGTGCCTCATGGGAGATTCAGGTAGATACACAGACTACATTATCAGCACCTATCAAAGGTTTTCTGGTTTTCCTGTAGAGGTGGATCTGCAGGGTAACGTCCTCACAACGCTGCCGGAGGCGGTCGGAAACATGCAGCACTTGATCAGCATCGATCTCTCCAGAAACAAGCTGAGGGTTTTCCCCGAGCGCCTGACGGATGTGAGCAGCCTCAAGCACATCAGCGTGGAGGGGAACCAGATCACAGGTGACCGGATGTATTAACTAGATGTGTTTTAAACTAATACTTCACCTTGACATGATATGAAGTGTCATTCTGTTTCCAGAATAGCTTGAGAAATATGATTGGTGTTATTCCAAGCCTGCAAGACTTTCGTGGAGGTGTAGTAGAATGTCCAGTCTGCTGCAGTGTTGCTACATTGTAGCATTTATTCATATTTTTAGCTTTAAATTATTATTATTACTATTACTGTTATTTTAATTTTAAGTTTTAGTAATTTTGTTAAGTGCTACATTTTTTGTCATTTTTATTATTTTAATTTCATAATTTTAGTACTTCAGCTTATTTTATTTTTTTTCTGTTAGTTACCAAGGCCACATTTCTAATTTTCACTTAAGTTTTTCATGTAATATTTAGATTTTTTTTAAATGTTATTTTTTTTATTTTATAAAATAAAATAACATAAAATTATTATATTATTATAACATAAAATTTATTTATATTTTATTTTATTTTAGCTGTATTTCATTTATCGAAAATGATTTTTAATTTTAGTTTAAGTTAACAATAACAAAACTGATCCGCTTTTTTGAAAGTGAACAGGAACATGTGTTGTCATGTTTCAAAAAGGACCAAAAAACACCATAAAATCATAAAACTACTGGACTTCTGTTATGATATGCTCAGGCTACATGTTCTTTGATATGCAGAATGTCTGCTTCTGCTTTCCATACATCTCCTGTTGCCATACATGTTTAAAATGTAAATAATGACAGAATGTTTATTTTTGGGTGAATTCTCTCTTTAATTACATGAGCTTGAGGTGTTCTAGCAGTGATAAAACTATAACAAGGCAACAGGCTAATTAACTCTCATTAGGCCTGTCGTTCATACTGAGCCTTTAAGAGAAAAGCGCTGCTTCCCTGAAATCACATGTTTATGTTACACACGAATGCATCTACTTTATGTGAGATCCGTATGACGCTGTTTTGGTTTTCAGAGGTACACACACACACACACACACACACACACA